CTTATTGACTTACTTATTTTTTTTTTATTCATTTATTTATATATTTATTTATTTATGTGTTTATTTATTTATTTATTCATTCATTCATTCATTTATTTATTTGCGTTTTTGTTACATTAAACTGATTCGATAAAAAGTTAAAATTCTTTTGATTGAGCTTCCCTAGCTTCTGGAAAAATTCTATGACGTAGCGCCACCTCATGGTCTGTTATAATAGACTCATCGGTTCCAGGCATTTTTTACATTTGATTTGTGTAAAAATAAAATATAATAATTTCTAAAAAAAAAACGAAAGTAAACATTTTTGTTTACATCAATTTACATTTCTGAATATTTTTAATCTGTGTTTTAATGCAAACATAATCAATAACATATCTGTGATTGGTAAAACATGTATTTAATATAGTAGGGTCAAACATGAGTAACCGACCAGTTTGGTATAACTTAAATACCTCGGGAAATTCAATATTTGGCGTCATTGTCTAAATATATAAAATATATCGGTAGTGTTTTATTAGTATTAGGAACAGCTCATATATTGTGATGGCGGACAAGTTCAAAGTCTCAGACACAAGAGCAGCTTCAAAAAGAATTTGTGAGGAAAAATTTGTTTGCTCAGGAGGAGAGGCCAGGTTCTGGTGTGAAAACTGTGGCAGTCGTCAGTGCTGTCACTGTGAAAGACAGCTGCATTTACAGCCTAAATTTCAATTTCACGATCGAGAGGAAATTATACAAAACCAGTACACAGTAGGGACAGAAGTGTGTCAGAAATGGTGTAATCCATACAATGCAGCATCTGTAAAGTGCGAAGAATGCAAATCTGTGTTTTGTGAAGAGTGCAATAAGGGTTACCACATTGGGAAACTATCAAAACATCACCGAAAGTTAATTCCAAAACCTGAACCACTTGCAGCAGCAGAAAATTTACTACTGTTTTCAGACCCTGATGACGACGATATACAGCAAATCCCAGATGACTGTTCTGATAATTTTCAAACTGGTATAGATTTCGAGGAACCACAAGCCCTGTCGTCTTTGCCCAATTTAGAGTTACTGCCACCAACAGATGATTTTACTTCCTTTCCAGATCCATTTTCAATAAAATACTCGCCTGGTGTAGGTCTAAGCACAGCCACTTCAAATTTACTAGACTGCAAAACATCTCTAAATTCACTCAAATCAGGCAGTGAAGAGCTAGGCCTAGGTCTAGACATGACCCAGAATCGTCAGGCAGCAGTGGTCCAACCGAACAGCCATTTATCCTCAATGGATGAAATTGAGACTGCGCTTCTTGGTCTAGATATTGGAAATATGGACCATTTTGTGGAGCCAGGGGGTCGTCCGATTCCTCGACCAAGAGCAAAATCGGCCTGTGGTGCTGATGCTGCCCCAAAGAACGGGGAATCAGATCAAGCTGCTTTACTTGCTCTTCCTAAACATACCGCAAGACCAGGTTTTCTTCTTGTTAATGGTGATGAAAAGCTCCAGGTGTGTATATAATATACATCTCATATAACATTTTTCTTAAAAATATATTGCCACCCAAAAAATCAAGATAAAAGTTAATAAAAACAAAAATGTTATTAATTCTTTAAAAGTGATCAAAATTTAATAAGTCGCTAAAAAGAAAAATCAGTTTTCAATACAATTAAATAATTAAATTGCTCAATTATAAGTATTATTTATATTAATTACTTTTCACTGACTTGCAGATATTTTACTACCAATTGATTGTCAATACAAGAACTGTATTATTTATACATTTTTAAGTAATATGAGAAATTTTTATTCTCATTATAATTAATAATTAAATTTATTTTTTTTCTTTATTTAAATAAAATAAATTTAATTATTCAAATTGTAATTATAATAGATTATGGCTCACCATATATAATTTCTTAAAAAATAACTTGTTAACAGCAAAGTTTATTAGATTTATATACTATTTAACAAATATTCTAAAGTTTCTAAAATCTATTTCATTACTACTAGTATTTTTAACTTTATTGTTTTAGGTCAAATCTGAAGCAGAATTATTGGAGAAACTAGGTTGCAATGAGGATATAAAGATTGTGTCAATATTTGGGAACACAGGAGATGGAAAGTCCCACACTCTTAACCATACATTTTTCAATGGCCAGGAAGTGTTTACCACCTCCCAGCTACAAGAGTCTTGCACCGTGGGTGTTTGGGCAGCTTATGACGACAACCTCAAAGTTGTAACCGTGGACACGGAAGGGCTCCTTGGGGTATCACCCAATGAGAATCAACGTACAAGACTTCTGCTAAAAGTAATGGCGATATCAGATATCGTCATTTATCGTACAAGAGCTGATCGACTGCACAGCGACCTGTTTCGTTTCATTGGAGACGCATCATTAGCCTACCGGAAGCATTTTGATAAAGAGCTGACGATAACGGCAGATCGGATTGGTGAAGATATATCTTTGTCTACGATTGGTCCAGTTGTAATAGTCTTTCAGGAGACCCAGCATACAGATATTTTAGGTAAGTTAATTTCAAGCAAAGATGTAGTGCCTCCAGTCAGCCAGACAAACATAACCTCTGGGCTCATAGTAATAATCATGTGACTCCCTGGTTGCTAATTAATGTTTTATTGTTTATTTTTACCATTAGAGCCTACCATTTGAGTATACAACATTTATTTTTCTTTGTAGGATTTGGATGTGAAAAGTCAGCTGATGTTCTTCTACGCGAGCGATTTGAGAAAATGAAATTGAATATGCGTGCATTCAGCAGCATCCATTATGTTGGTACACGAACTGATAAACCCCCTACAAACTTCAAAATTCTGAGAGATAGGCTAAAGGAACATATCAAAGACAATACTGTACGGTCCCCTAGACCAGTGTCAGTGATGTTTGCAGCATTAAAGGTACAGTTTTGTATGTGATAACAGTTGCTCAGTCATCCTAATGATACATCAAACAGAGGCATTGAGAGAAAATTAGGTTGAGTACAGCATCTTGCAAATAACAGAAAAATTCCCAGGATGTTTACACTTTTTCTACCTGGGATGAATGAATATTGTCTTGTCAATATCAAGGTTGTCATTCATTTCACACAATAATTGACCTTTTTGCTAAGCCCGCCCCTTGAATATTGTTGCTAAGGTTCGCCCCTTGAATATTGTTGCTAAGGCCCCACAAAACAATAGTGTAAATGTACGGAAAGATGTGCAATGTGGGATAACACGTGTGTGTTGGACGTGCGTTTCCTGGCACTGTTCTGATTGGTCCCATGTTGACACACTGGAAAGGTCATGTCTAGAGAAAGCTTTTTCCAATTTATACCTGTACTATAATTGCCCTTTATATAGGTTTTGATATGACATCACATCATCATTAATAACGCTTCTCTTCTGATATCACAGGACTCGCTATTTTTTTTCTCAATGATTCGGTCTGCTGGAGTTAAGTAATTGTCTCAACATTTACATCATGCTTTTTCCCGACCATTGTGGAAATCATTCCTTTCAATTACACAGATTTTGCCCCAAAGAACAAATCTATCTAACTTTTTTTTTTTATCTTTAACCTAGGTTTTGAATGAAAAATTTAGCGGGGAGATAGAAACAACTCAACCAAAGACTTTCCCGGATGAATACTTCACATGTACAAGCCGGTGCTTAGCGTGTCAAAAGCGGTGTACTAAGACAATGAATCATAAAGATAAGTTGGGTCACGAGACTGATGGCCGATGCAAGTACCTACATCAGCATGATAATCGTGTCTATATTTGCAAGGTACTTTTTAAATATTTTAAGACAATATTATTCAATTTTTAAGTAAACAGTACTAAAAAGATACACAACAGAGTAACAAAGGCATCCCAATGTTATTAAAATGTTACAGTAAAATGAAGAACATAAGCACAATGCCTTTTGTCACAGTACATTGTAAAGAAAGCAAAAAGTGTAGCTATCAATGTGGTGGTCCTCTATTGTACAGTGGAAACTGCACAAATATACTCGGAAGTGTTCTGGGTTTAAATTTTACACTAAATATAATTTAGAAAAAAACTGGTATGTTTATAATTACAAATAACTGATGATATATTTAAATAAAAATACTGTAATGGACAAATAGCACTTTCTTCAGCTTTCACTGGCAGTAGTAATTGATATATTGTACATACTTTCTCAGGCATGCCTAGAAAAGGGAGGAGAGGAAGTAGTGGTAGTACCCAAAACCTCATCTTGCAATGACTCCAGCTGGGTGGGCCTAGCAAAATATGCTTGGTCAGGGTAAGTTGTTAACAATTATTTAATGAATGTTAGTAATTTTTCAAAATGCATTGTAGATGTTTAGTATGCCAATTATTATAAACTAAAATGATAAATTAGAAAAAAAAAAAATTCAGAATATAATACTACCCTTCGTGTATTGTTTGTGTAGACGATAAGTTCTCTGGTATCTTATGCTCTGTTCACTCTAACAAACTTTATGTGACAAATAAATGTCATATGCCCATAGTTGGGTGTAATGTGACATCATCATGCCATTTTTATTTTATAATATTTTTTTTTTTTTGTACTTTAATGTTGAGAAGAGTTATGAGTATTTTAAATGTTTTATATATATATGTATATTACTATTAATTATTCTGCACATTTCAAATTTTCCTTAAGTTTGCAATAAAGTTATTTTGAATATTGAATCTTGAATCATATATAGGCACATCACACAAAACTTAATACTATGGATAGATTTTCATAATAAAGTCTCTAAAAAAATGTGATTTAATCTAGATTTCATCATAGGCAAACTTACTACAGGATAGATGATATTAGAATAGTTATTATCATATATCAAGTTTCATTACGATATTTGTTTTTAGATATGTTCTTGAGTGTCCAAATTGTGGCATCATCTACCGCAGTCGACAGTACTGGTACGGCAACCAAGACCCTGTAGATGCTGCAGTCAGGACGGAGATCAGACATGTTTGGCCTGGGGTAGGTGTTGATCTAAGGAAGTAATAACTTAGGGTCATAGTCAGTGGTGATGTTTTTGAATAAATCAAAATTAGTTGATAAAAATGAGGTGGTAGACAAAATCCCATGGTAGGTAGCCCTCCTAAACCCTTCTTGTAGTTTCAACTGTGCAGCTATGTCATATGACACCTTTTACTCGAACTCATTCCATGTTACTGTATTATTTTACGTTATTATCTAGGGTCATATGGTGCTGCAAGGTACCACCGACAATACAAGCAGGAAGGTGATTGACGGACTGTCATATTTGATTGACACCGTTAGCTCCGTCAGTAAGAAACCCACCAGTATGATAAGTGATTGGATATCTGACCAGATAGCGCCGCCATATTGGATCCCGAATTCACAGATTGTGGTAAGCATGGGTTTATTTGTCCTAAAGCTCTGTCCACACTTATTATGTCCATATTTTGACATATCACATGTCAAATAAACTTTGATAGTGTAGACAGAGCTTTATACCTGCATTCATCCATTTATTTCTGTTTAAATTATAAACATCCTGAACTCTCCATCACTGATTTCACTCTGTTGCATTTATAATAATTTTTTTAATTTATTCTTTAGGAATGTAACAAGTGCGGCATAAGATTTGAAAATGATGAGAAAAAGCACCACTGCCGGGCTTGTGGTAATGGCTTCTGCGATGACTGTTCCGATCAGAGACTACCGGTCCCAGAAAAAGGCTGGGGTGAAGCTCCCGTCAGGGTGTGCAAAGACTGCTTTGAAACCCGATCAGAACAAGGTCTGAAATGCTATTGCAGTTTATCGAAATCTTAATAATTATTCACACAAATTTGTCACATAAAATATGGTAGTGTATACAGAGTTTATACTGTAAGTAGTACTCTATTTAGGTTCTAATCAAATTGCATTACACAATATAAGAACAAAGAGCCCCTCAAAGCAGAACCTCTGACAATAATATAACATAATTTTTGCTTTACCATCAGCTTTGGCAGTCCAAGAAGGAGGATTAGATCAGCCCCCTGTGATGGCAAGGAAAGTCGGAGAAGCATTTCAAAATACTCTTGGAATGGTGGCCAATGTCATGGTTTACCCAAAAGGTAAAAACTTAAAGTGATCATAATACAGTAATAATTATTATAAATTAATTAATTAATGTATATTTTCATTGCAATACATTTTACTTGTCATGTTTATGATATAAAAGCTTCTATAAATTTCTAATATCCACAGCAATTCTCAAGGCAGTCGCATGTTTTATTATTATTCACCATTATATTTTTTTAGACTATCTATTGGATGTGGCTAGGCCTGTCTACTGGGTGCCTGATGAGGATATTATCAGTTGTAACTGCTGCAAGAAAGAGTTTACCCCCAAGATTCGCAAACACCACTGCAGAGCATGTGGCCAAGGGGTGTGCAGCGACTGCTCAAAGCATACCAAGCCAGTTCCCTCGAGGGGGTGGGATCAGCCTGTCAGGGTGTGCAACGACTGCAATGAAAAAGAGACTCTTTGATGATAAATCAGCCAGTGGATAGCATTGAGAAATGAAAAAAAAAAACTCATTACCAATTATAGGGACAGACAGTTCAGAATGTTTGCATTTTCAACAGGAATAGCAGGATAGTTGCTAGACCACACCTGTGGTTATGTGGGATGATCACTTTCAATTTAATTGTGAAATGATTTTGTTTACAAATATTAAGGTTGCACTATTATGTTATGTATTGTTACTCAGGGAGTATGGAATCTTAACTTTGTAATACAGTGATTTAGTTCACTTTGTGGTTCCTGCCTACTTCCTGAGTTGACTGTATGTGTTTGTAGTTGTGTTTCTGGCAATAAAGAATAAGACTAAGACCATACCACATGAGTAACACTTTGAGGTTCCTCCCCCTCCTTGGTTGACTACATGATTTTGAGAATGTATAAAAGTGTTGCCAAATTATGGAATTTGATATGTTATGCAATAATGAAACATTTTTTAAATATTTTAATGATATATATATATATTTCAGATTCTACTGTGGACAGTTTTTTTTAGTTCATCTTGTACTAATATTGATTTTGATTAACGCTTTTTTTTCAAATTATAAAACTTCTTTCTGTTTTGTTATTAATCTGTGTTTTGGTATACAGTATCTATGATTAAATTAATTCCTCTAATGTATCCAAAATACCTTAAATGTTGGTGGCCAGTAATATTGTTTAATTATCATCATTGCCACTCAATATAGAGTAAATGATCCTGTGTAAATATATTTTCTGTTGATTATTGATTAAAAAACAATTTAGTTTTCATGTATTGCATGTACAGTATTCTATAACCAAAGCAAAGAGTATAGAACTGCAAGGGTTCAGACTCTCAGGCTTTCGTTAGAACACAATCCTATCTCAAAAGAAGTACAATCACAAATTAGAGGGTGTCCTTCAATATAGGGCGCTCATCTTGTGATAGTACTTTCATTGTGTGCGTACAAAACCAGAGCAGTTGGACCTCTTGCACCAATGCCAGTAGTTATAATGTATACATATAGCCTTAGGTACATGTCTTATATGTTTAGTGCAATTTGTATGGGTTAGGAAATATCATCTACATTACATTATATAAATATATCTTGACAATTTATTAAATCTACTTATATCATGGACTTAACTGTATTCTTGAGAATTATAAATGAGGTGGCAATTTATTCTGTCAGTCACATAAGTAAAATGGTAAGGTATAACTAAAGGGAAGGTATTGTGTCTTGGATTTCAATAGAAAGGCTTTAAGCAGTACAGAATTAACCAGAACTATTTATTATTTCAGTTTACCTTAATTTCTTTTCACTCACTGTTATTACATTTTCTATAATATTAATGATATGAAAATAAAATTACCATTACACTCAAACTTTTTAAGACAAAAATAAGTTCAAGGAAGAATATATAGTGTAGAATAGCACTTCTGTTTAATATCAATATATTTGTTGTAATTAAAGATCATAGTATCATAGGTATATGAAGGTGATAGGAGTAGCATTGTGGTTGAGATTCCTGCCTTTCAAATTTTAAACTCAAACTTTCTTAGCTGTTTTAAATGTGCATTCACACACTAAACATAGCTACAATGTGTCCTCACAAACTAGAAACTGCAAAACCATGATGATGTACTGTTGCTTTACTATCCTCTCACATATGTGTATCGTAACACGTACAAGTGTGTGTGTGATTTCATTGTAGCTATTGCGTATGTGCAAATTATTTTACATTAAAATTGCTGTTACGCATGTGCCAATACGTAATTGTCTAAGACAATTTTAAGCTAAAACAGTGCCAAGAGGTCTTGATATAATTTTATTTTGGGCTCACCTTCAGTGTTTTGACTTAAGATTTCTTTCTAGGCCAAAATACTAGGTTAAGTTACAAGCACCCAGTTTGTTTTCCTTATGAAAGATATATATTCCATTTAGTCAGTGGAAATTTATATCTGCTTGATGAGAATGAAAACAGAAAAAGGAGATTTAAGGGGTAATGTGCAGGATCAAAAGACTGATGTGGAATGTAATATACATAAATAATTCTACAAATAAATAAAATTCAACAAATTAACACTGATTTGCTAATTTAAAATATCTGACTGGACTTGTGTTTACTATACTCATTAAGTCATTCATACATGATGTAAGACAGGGTCATAAGGTGTACCAGTGGAATTGCTTCTGTGTCCCTAGCAAGAGGCCTGGGCCAGCAGTTCCAGTCCAGTTAGTGGAGTAGACAACGGATGGCAATGTTTGCTTTGATGCTGACAGAGGCGGTGGTAGTGTTTTCAATAGATTGCCAGTATGTATGCTCCAAATTCTGGTAAAGCAATCTTGTCCAACTATGAAGGAAAATAGAAGAGAATACCACTTCCAATATCATTAATATTCAGTAAAGGCTGCATGTTGTACACATAGCAAAACATTATAATTTATTTTATTTCAATCAAGTATTTTCAATTGCCGTATATGGCCGCCTTTGGCAAAACCAGATGACTTCATGTACATTAACAATTTTTTTTTCACATAACTGGATATGAACATAAGATTTGATTTAATGAGATATTTGAAATTTGGACCAAAAACTAACCAGTGTACAGGACAGATTCTGTTGAGTCAATATTGAAGGGTAAATGTCTGTGTTGATTGTTGTTACCATGGTATTCCCTAGCAACTGCACACATTCTAATCTGTCTCTTATACACATCTAGATGTGTATAAGAGACAGGAGTATAGAACTGCAAGGGTTCAGACTCTCAGGCTTTCATTAGAACACAATCCTATCTCAAAAGAAGTACAATCACAAATTAGAGGGTGTCCTTCAAACACTCTTCAGATAAAATTGCCTAATCTATATACATATATTATAACAGCTTAGATCCATCCATAAGTGGAAACCTTAACAATGAAGAGGGTTAAAAACAGTACCTTAAGGTGAAAGTAGTGTCGCTAAGGGGAAACTTAAACGACGTTAAGGTGAAATCATAGACAAAAGAGTTATATATATATATATATATATATATATATATATCACTGTAAACAGAGCCTGATTTATTCTATCAAAGACTTCCTAAATAAATAAAATAGTTTTCACAAGCTCGACATATAATTCCGGAGAAAGAGGATGTCTCAGAGTACTTCTTAACTTGATTCTTATGGTTACTTACCTTTCCCGACATATCACTAGCAATGATATAATTTTCATCATTTAGAAGTTGTAGACAACAGACAGATGTGTGGTGATGCAGTATTGATGCAAAATTCCTTCTTGATGGAGTTCGAAGGTCACAGCTAAGTATTTCACCTCGTTTTGTTCCATTATAGAGCAATGGTTGCTAAATCAGAAGAGAATTTAATTTGTTAAAACCTATTTGATTCCTGATTAAATAAAATATTAAAACATAAAAGACTTATAAAAATTTAAAAAAAGATGTCATGAATATTTAAACATGATGATTACAAATTAAAGAATATTATGTTCAATTCATTTTAACCAACACAAATACGGTATGTGCAAGTTAGTGCAGAGATATATGCTATGTTCTCACATGGCACCTAATGGTTAGCAGGATCCGGATCCTGCTAACCGTTAGCTGCTGTGCGTCCATGCGAGAAAATCCCGATCCGGATACCAACAATATGATGATCGAATCACTGGCCAATAAGAAACTGGAAATTGTAAACGTGTACGTTTGATTGGTTGATGATAGAACGCCCTCAACTTGCTAACAGTTAGCAGTATCCGGATACCGCTAACGGTTAGCTCCCGATCCGAATACTAGGGCTCTTGTGAGAACCAGGCTAAATGGAATGGATTTTGGTTCAAGACAAAATTTAAATCCTGTCAATACCGTTCTTGCCTGTGTCCTTAAGTGACTGCTCTAAATACCCCATTCTTAACATTAAGTCATTGGTTCAGTATGACTAATGTAATGTGCATTAAAAAAACTCTGTACACTATTCAAATAAAGAAGGTACTATACTGATGCAGTGTGCCCCCAAAGGGGCCTAATCCAAATTTCCTTGTTTATTTTTCCACAAAGACCCCATGTTAAGCTGTCCACATTATCAAATTTCCTTTGAAAAAAACTGTTGTAAGCCCATATATAGTCATCATGTCATCATGACTATATTTAGGCATGTCACATGTTTTATCAAATACAATTTGATAGATATTTTTTTGATAGATATTTTTGTTCTTACAGATTTTGCAAAGACTTGACACAGCACATCACTTCCATTTGTGTTCAGTTTTGTCTTCAATGATGTCACAATATCTACAATATAGGATCTCCTACCACCTTCAAAAAAAGTTTATAATTTTGAAATTGTAAACAAATAAAAATTTGGAACGCGAGGGAAGCACTATTAAGACAGGTTTGGTGAAATATCAAATAATTCTCTGAATATACAGTATGATTAGCTATAATATAATTTCAAAATTATTTATTTACCAAAACTAAGATGATTTGCTAATACTTTGTTTTCACTCCAGGAGCAAGTCCATATGATCCCTTTCTCCCATCCAACATACAGAATGTGCCGGGCATCTGGATACTGTGCGAACAGTTGTACCTGACTTTCCTGGCCTCCGGAAACAGAATAACTAATCAAAACCATGATGGAAAATTCCAAATTTCATATACATCTTCAGCATAGTGGTAATTCCAGATATTTGCCAACAGAGGGTCCGACATGCCTTATAGGGGGTCCAAACCCAGGGGCCTACTAGAGCCACCAAGGGGCCGACTAGAGCCACCAAGTGGCTAACTAGAGCCTCGGTCAGCCTCCCTCCCTGACAATCTGCTGGCGCCACAACTGCTTCAGCAGCACAATATGATTATTGACTTACTGTGCCAGAGGTCATCTTTATAAAATCCCTAAAGAAGGATTTCCCCGGCTGGGAATCTAAGGTCCCCAACCGGGATGGGGGGGGGGGGAGAGAGTTTGCTAAAAAGCTTTAGAAAGTGGTCCAGGGGACGTAGCCCCCGAAAATATGAAAATTTAGGGGATCCAAAGGCTTATTTAATCGATTTTAGAGTCTATTAATATGTACAAAATACATATAATTTTTTTGATTTTGTTTTTCTCCCCAACGAATTGTGGTTTTTCTCCCCAAAGAAGGGGGAGGGGGGAGGTCTCCTGCCGCCTGTCAGGGGCTGTAAACCCCTAAGGCCCCTGCGTCGGGGAGAAAAATCACAATTTTTATTTCTCTTAGTACAACTAAATACATGATGCCTGAATATCGATCAAGCAATCACACACATTTTCAGCCTTGAAATCAAACTTCAACACCTTATCAAAATTAACTACACATAGAAAATACTGGAAAGGATACAGAACATGGGTGTCATGCTGGTCATCAACAGACACCCAACTTGCACTTGTCACCTGAAGAAAGTTGGAAGAAACCATTTAACAATATGTAATACATTGTAAAAGTACATTAACACATCCAACTATCTACTACACACTGAAAATATTTTAAAAGTTACATCAATACCACCCCTCACACACATAATAAGACTACCCATCTACTGACTCTGATTGAAATTAGACCTTAGAAAATTTTGAATTCAAACCTCTGAATTTATGGGTAGGCTTATAAATAGTTCCCAAGGAACTAACAGTAATTGATGATATTTTTGAGCATGATATTTTTTAAATCAATTTTATTTTATGATTTTTTTTACTTATGATTGTTATGTTTTACCTTTCCACATCTTCCAACACAGCTAATGTTTTTCCAGTTTTTGATATCAAACTGTGAAGAATTTTCTTTGTTTGCCGTTACAGTTCCTTGCCAAAAGCTGTTCAAAGATATCATATATATAAGTACCTCTATTTCAGAAGTCATACAGTACAAAACATACAAAAACATGGAAAAACAAAACGACAAAATCCTAGGACAGTTGCTTCCTTTAAAAAAAAAATGATGAATTATATACCTGCTAAAGCGGTCATTCGATATAACTGTCAATATTTTCTTTTTACTTTTGTCAGCCTGAAAAATGTATAAATATAATTGAATAAAATAAAAAATATTAAAATAACATTTTTAATAACATGCATAATTTACTGTGTACAGAGTGCATTTTTCTGGTCATTGAGTCCACATGCTTGAATGTTACTGCTGTAACCAGCATAGGAGTAGGCAACTTTACCAAGTACCCATTTATACTCTTGGTAGAGAAGCAATGTTGATAAAGTGCCTTGCTCAAGGACACACGCTAAATGCATAGCAAGGGATTGAAACCCCAACCATGATTTTGGGAAACCAAATTGTTCCCACTGCGCTAAACCACTTCAATTGTATTTCCCCAGCACCTGGATGGGTACCCTTATTCTGAAAATTCCAGGAAAGATTACCAACCTGAAGTAGAGTTATATATCCAGACTCAAAATGATGGCCTGTGTCAGGACACGATGAAATCTGGTTGGATGATTTTACAGGCATTCTGGCAACACATGCTTCATGGCATTGCCTGAGAAGTAAAGATTTGATAGTTACTTGGCCCCCTATCAAATTTTCTTTGACAAAAAACTGTTGTATGCCGATATATAGTCATGATGTGATGTCATCATGACCATATTTAGGCATTTCACATGTTTTTGTCAGATAAAATCTGATAGCCTGAACTATGGAAGAGACCATGGAGAGCCCATGGCAAGCTCTGATTGCAATTTTATTGAGAATAATGGCTTGTTAAATATGATTGGTTAAAGCATTTTTACCTCACATATGAACAGGATGAAATCTTTCCTCTTTGTCTTTGAAGTAGAATTTGACTGATGGACGGACATATAGATTTACTTTCTAGATTATTCTGAAAAATTAAAAAGGATGATAAGAGAGACAACCATAGGTAAATTGCCTTGCCTTAGGACACATGCGAAATCTACAGTGTGAGATTGAACCTCTTTCCGCAAGGTTGAGATGCTGAACCACAACCACTGTGCCAAACTGCTCCTACAACTACAGCTACTGTATGACTCATAAGAGAGATACAGTAATCCCTTAGGGCCCGTTCGAGCGAAAAAATATCCGTGCGATTTACCAGTTAATTCACCGGTACACACTTTCAAAAACCGCTCGGACACTAGTCTAATTACCTTTCCATCTGGATTATCCGCAACAATTTTGACCACCAAATTGCTGGGTAGAATACCGTGTATGGAATGACCATGGAGCCGGAGGCGATGATAAATCAACCTTAATTGTTTTTCCAAAAGTTTTGCCCACAACCTAGCGCCAAATTCAATAGGTTTAACGGCCCAGGCGTGGTTGCAGCTCTCATTCGCCTCCTCACAAATGCACGACGAAGTCTAAATTTAGTAGCATATAGCTAAGCTACGCGATTGATTTGTAGATTTACCATTATTCGGAGAAATAAACTTGAATAAACTAGCCTACATACAGATTTTAAAGCAGCCATTATAAATTATTGAGCTACATTATCGTTCCACCGTGCCGCGCTGTGTGTACGTGGGCCGGTTATAGCAGCAGTAGTAAGTAAAGAAAGAATGGGTTGTTGACCATGGGATAAGTTGAAATTTTCTTCCGGAGTAGTTTCGTTACACGTATTTACCGTGAGCTAAAACTTGCTCGAACGGTCGACCACCCGCTGAGTGCTCAGCGCGATTACCCGGTGAAATAAACGGAATATGGTTGGCGTATTTTGCTCGAACGGGCTCTTAGTTCCATCTTCTAAACCTGTCATTAGAATCACACTACAAAATGCAATACCGTTGATGCTGTACGTATATCACCAATATTTATAACTACATCAAACCCAGTGCAAAAAAGAATCTGAGCCTATGTAATTCTTGTTCCTAGGAAACACTTGCACCTCACAAAAGTGGTTTCTAAGGAATTAAATGCTATTTGTGTGCACCCTGTGATTGAACACACATCCTGAAAAGGTACATAATCTGCCCACTATTAAGGACTGTCTGCTGCCTGTGTAATTTAAATGTATTGTTGGCATGAAGACCTATGTCATTCATATAAAGACAAATATATTGTGACTAACTGTGGCACCTTGGTTGATTGCACTGTCTGAATTCAATAGATCAAGCCGTTTCTTTTCTGCTTCTTTCTCTTGTAACATCTCATTACTTATAGGATTATGGTTGTTGTGGCCTGGTAGTAGTCGAAAATATCGCTTTTTAACTGGATCAAAGTAAAAACCTGGAATATGTGAGATTACGGAGTTAAGAAATAAATTAGATAACATATTTAGGGTCAATAAGACTTTTAATTCCTTGTTTTGTGAACTATTTTTTTAAAGATCATCAGAGGAGGGCGAAAAAAATAATAAAAATAAATTTTTTTTTCTTATTTAGAAAATAGTTTTGCCAAAAACTTCCAGACAGAGGAGAAAATAAAAACAAAATGTTATTGGTGAATGTAAACAGTGTAGTAATGGGATGGTTAAATGCTTAGAATTTATATAATTTTTTAGAAATATACATCTTATTTTAGGTTTCAAGGAAGCGACGGGAGTAATAAGAATAAAAAAGTACTCTATTTTTTTTCTAAAATTTTCCATTTTTCGTGGCGACTGGTATGGTAATTGGCCCAAAATAAAATTTTATTTTTATTTGAAATCATTATTGGTATACGGTAGGCTCGCTAAACAAGGTATAAAAAAAAGTTTTGCCTAATGTAATGGTTGAAAAAATGTATTGAATATAATTTAAAAATTTCTGATTTATTATTTTGTTCTTATACACATGCAGTGTGTAATGCGCATACATGCAATGGAAGAGCTAGGGGTAGGAAAGTGTGCTATTTAGCGAAAATATGTATAGAAATTTATTTTTTTAAAAATAAATAGAAATAGCAAAGGATATCTCTCCCAAAACTTGATGTTGATGTTCCACCGGAAGATGATTTGTCATGCCTTGATGTTCCGTAATTTTGCGGGTTATGTTCATGCTGGTGTAACTTCCCTGATTCAGAGGCCGACCTCATCCCACCATCATGGTTGGAAGTTTGTCTAGATTTTCCATCACTCCAGTGCTGCCTTCTTTTCCTTCTTTCATTAATCGATGGGTCATTATTCCTTCTTGGATTGACGTCAACCTTTCTTGTTTGGTTATCTTCTGATTTTTTATTTCTCCATGTCCACCATTGTTGTCTGGGCATTTTAAGCATGAGACTTGATATGAGAGTGTTAAGGTAACATCTGAGAAAGTAAAACGAATTGTGAGTTGTTTTTTTTTTGGTTTTTTTTTTGTGTTCAACTATAAATCATTGGTTGGCCTTCTTTATTAGCATCAGTATCACTCAATTCCATGAGGTCAACCAGGCCAAGGTCCAAAAACCTCGATTGGGTTGGACATTTTTTGCAGTGAAACAAAAACAAACAAGACAATCTCTTTTTTCTTTAGGCTAGGCACAACATCAAAACAAACTAGAGGTAGCCTAGTGCCGACCGAGCCGGGCGTAGGTAGCGCGCTAGCTTGCCTCAAACAAGATGTTTTGCTACGCAAACATTACATTAGGCCTAGGCTTAGCCTAGTCACTAGAGTAAATGAGTTAAAGTAGAGTTGAACGTAGAAAGAATGCATTGTCATGAATATAATTATATTGGAGACTTACAGGGTTAAAAATCACATCTTACAAAAATCCCTTGACGAGAGTAAACAACAACACGTTCATCATCTTTTAGGTTGTACTTCTCTTTACGCATGCGTGTGAAATTACGTAATACTTTAGATTTTGTTTTACCTGCGGACCGGATTGACATCTAGCTTCTAGATTTTCATCCGTCCAGTCAGGCACTGTTGTTGTGAACCCGGGAAGTCCCAAGATTGTCACCGTTCTGGCAGCTTCTGGACTTGAGAGGATGAGACTTATTTTTACTTATTACCGTATTTAGTATTAGTATCATCAATGTTAACAATATTTCCTATTGACCTTCACTGTGATCCTCATCATTCTTTATCAATATCATTTCAGTCAGTCTCAATTTTTAAAACAAAACAAAAACACAATACCAGTAAATAAAACTCAGGATATTCAGTACTTTTATGACTAGTTTATTTATGACAGTACACAAGCTTTCGTGCACACAATACCAGTACTTCGCCTACATACAGTAGTCATCTTATGTTTTTATTGACAGTAAATAATATTATAAATCTAAATGAATGGGAAGGCATGAACACCATAGTCATATTTTAAATAAATAAAACATATGAATTGAATTACATAACTGATTCACACTTCCCACCACCAAAATCAACATCTGTTTCCAAAGGGCACCTAAGGCGTGACTTTTTTTATACCTTGTACCTGCCGCTCGTCAATAATGATTTCAAATAAAAATACAATTTTATTTTTGGCCAATTAGTGCACCAGCTGCCACAAAAAATGGAAATTTCAGGAAAAAAAATAAATTTTCCTTTATTTTTATTATGCAGCGCCTTGAAATCTCCAAAAAATAAGATATGTATATTTAAAGCATTTAACTATCCCATTAAACACTGTTTATATTAGCCAATAAAATTAAACTTTATTTTCTTCTCCATCTGGATGTTTTTGGCAAAACCATTTGCTAAATAAAAAAAAAAAGTTTTTGTTTTTTTGCCTCTGCTGACGATAAAAAATAAGTTCGAGAAACAAGGTACTTGTATAAAAACAAGTCTCGCCTAGCAGCTAATAAATGAAATAATGGGAAAGCGAGAAACAAAAATTACTACAGTACATGTTGAATGCACTCTAAAAATATATTTTTAAAGAAATTATTTGTGCTCAAAAAAGCATAAATTTTGGAAGGTGATGAAACTACTGTTAACAGTTTAACATTGCATTATACAGTTAAGTTACACGAGTCTTGTTCAAATGTCATGTACAGGTTCTACATAAAAACACATCAATGATATCATTTAAGCACCTTCAAATTGCTGTTCTTAACATCGATAGGATTGAACTTATCTAAATGCCTTTTGGTGTTGTAATTGTGGGTGCGAACCTTTTGCTGTCTGTGCAGAATCCTTAACCAACTGGGCCATTGAGGTTCATTGGAAACTTAGATCAGATAAAAGCAACTTATGTTTCACACTCTTTTGCGCGTGCGCCTCACGTAAACAACAAAAATTTCGACTTTTGTGTACACATTAGATTATGAGAGATTGTGTCAATTTCTAAGATTCCCACAACTAGCCCCAGTTCTAGAGACTAACCAAACACAGCACAGCACAATACTTGCTAAACAATGCAGGCACTTTGGAGGTAAAGATCTTTAAATACTTCTTGATGTCTAAGAAAATTAACGTCATAGTTCAAGCCATTGTAAAGGTTACCAGAAACAATTAATTTTAGGGAAAAATTTAATTTTTTTATAGCAAATTAAATAGGTAGTGTACTGAGTTTATATTATACTGTAATATATAACATCTATTGTATGTACAGGTATGATGATAACATTCTTAACATCTATAATTGTTTTCTTAATTATAGTCACCATAGAAACATTAACCATAAACATTAACAAAAGATAGAGTAACAATGCACCATAGAAATATTAATCACAGTACCCATCACTTCACCTAATTTTATAATACTGATGTTTTTTTAAGGTATTAACATTTTAATAATTCATGATCTTTTACACACTATTTTGAACCAGACTACTTCAACCTACATTTAATTTTAGAAGACATAATTACAATTAAGATGTTTGTAAGTTAGTTAACAAAAGATAGAGTAACAATGCACCATAGAAATATTAATCACAGTACCCATCACTTCACCTACATTTTATAATACTGATATTTTTTTTAAGGTATTAACATTTTAATAATTTATGATCTTTTACACACTATTTTGAACCAGACTACTTCAACCTACATTTAATTTTAGAAGACATAATTACAATTAAGATGTTTGTAAGTTAGTTAAAAAATATGTATACTTAGTGCCTATCATCTTAAACTATGGCTGCATAGTATATTGAATACATATATATTTATTAAACTCTACAAATCATTGAGGAATCAAAAACAAACAAATTTCCAAATTCGCACCAAGTTTTATTTACATTACCATCTTATAACTTTCATACATGCTGAAAATATAGAACTATGCTTAAATTTCAAAATAGAATTTGTATAAAAAAATGTTCACATACAAAGCATTCATTTACTGGGCCAAAGTCACTCCAAATAAAATAAAACAATCAAGTATAATGTTGTAATTTGCATATATAAAAATACAATTCATAATATGGTCCTGTTCTACTAGTTGGTTTGGTGGATTAATTTTCAGTCTTTTTCTAAGCACCAGTTTTATTCTTCTGTTCCATTTCCTCAATCTGAGAAACAAGTTCTGCATGCTCTTCAAGAAGGGTCTGGAATTCCATTTGTTTCCTCTTCGAAGCTTCCTGGAATTAAATTAATAATAATAATAATAATAATAATATATTTATATATTTAATATAAATATTTTGGTACACTTATAAGTACAACTGTAAAAGCATTGGACATAAAAGAAATTTTAATTCCAATTTCTGGTAAAATTCTATAGGTATAATACTAATACTGATGTTGTTGGAATTAAAAAGTATTAGAATCAGCTTCAACATCCAAAAATGCCCAGTTTCTCTGGGTATCAGGGAAGCCCACCAGAACTTCAAACCTGCTGTTGGCTTAAGGCTCCACTGGAAATTTCCAGAAAGTTTTCGCCACTCCCTGAAAGTCTATTCTGAAGCTTGTGTCTACTACAGACTATTTTATCGGGTTTACTTTGAAACCACGTCGCCAACGTCTCAATTCAGTGGGGGACTTCCAGCGGCCTAACCTACCCTGAGCAGCTAGCTAGTGTCTAATAGAGCGCTGCGAGAACACTGGTAACTCTTAGGTAACTGGTAGTCCCCCAGTGGTAGCTGAAAGGTTATTAAAAATTTTCATTTCAAATTTTGCGAAAATTGTCTATTTCTTGTGTGTTTTGTTTTTTGGGCTGTACATGGCCACATGTTGCATTAAGTATTATTATTATTATTAGATTGTACATATTTTATTTACATATTTTTATTTGGGCCTGGCATGTTCAAAATCACACTATATACATGTTTTTTATGTACAGTTACAGTATTTGTCCATTAATATTATTATTGTTGGGCTGTATGTACAGTATTGTTATTGTGCTATATGTACTGTACTTGAACCTTGAGCATTCTTAATGGTCTGTATACATCCTTATTCTATAAATGAAAAAGCGTATGCACTTACTCGAACTGCTTCAGCTATTTGGGAAAATCTTAATAATGGTCTTTTCTTTGTCACAATAGTACCTGAGGAAATGAGAGGGTGTGGAAATAACAATAAAAAAATTCATCTACATTGGAAAACAAAATTGCTTGTTGTAAAGTTTGTCTATAAAGGGCAGTGTTCATTCCAATCATGATGTATAAAGTGGCGTTTTAATACTTAAATTCAAGCAACAGAGATTATACTCAATCATAAATGCAATTAAAAAATAATAATAATTAAAAAGCATGAGTATTTAAAAAAAATCTTAATTAATGGAATTAACAAACCTTGCGTGAAATCTTCCTCCTGAATATTCAACATCTTACTATGGCCCTCATCATCCTGTACAGATATGATAATGTTTGGTCCTGAGCTATCCCTAACACTTCCATCATTATCCCCTTCCTCTCCCTCTTCCGCCTTTTTGCGTTCCGTGTCCATAACTATTTGGTCAGATAATTGGTCACTGTTACTTTGGTATTTTGGGGCATCATCTCCCTCCTCGGAGACAATTTGTTCTGGGCTTTTTTTCTCAGTCAGAGTTAAGTTACCAATATTGATGTTGTTGGAATTGTTCAAGTTGGCAGCCTCGAGGATGTCTGCATCAACCGATGAGTCTGATGCTGGTGAAGACCTTGACTGCTGAATACTGCTATCAAATCCTGGAATTGTTCTGTCTACCTCATTACCTGTGACAAGACAAGAAGAAATTAAAAACATAAATATATCTGTTCATGAAGTAGTGGAGTTGAATAGCTTGGTGGTAAGATGCTTGCCTTCCAGTTGTAGGGTCCTAAGAAATTACCTGTCTGCCTTGGATATTTTTACTAAGGTACCACAAAACAAAAGTGTAAATGTACGTAAACACATGCGTTTGTAGAACATGCGTGTACTCTTGGCCTGTTCTGATTGGTCGTTTGTTCAGTTTGATGACATTCCGGAAAGTTCCATTGCTGTCACAGCAACAAGAATTTTTCTCACAACCAAAAACAACTCCATAAGCCTAAAGCTTCATAATGAGACATATTATGTAGAGCATCTTAAATGTATGTTTATCTTGTGAAGGGTCTTGCTACTTAGAAAAGTGATTAAGTCAATTCCATTTGGTTTGTGGTGGTAGAGGCACAAAATTAATGTTTACCTGGAAGGTCTGATGCGACTACAGCATCACTATTGAAAGAGACTGCGCTGCGATTGGTTCCAAGTTTTGCTAAGTTGGTAGCAGACGTTGCAGGTGTCCCACTAGGCACCCTCAGTTCCTGTCAAACAAAAATTTTGTAATGTAAGAATAAATAAATGTATAAATAATATAATGAATGAATAGAAAGATTGAATGATTGAATAAATGTACTGAATGAATAAATGTAATGAATAAATGAATTAATAAATAAATGAATGACTGGAATGAATGACAGAATGAATAGATGAATGAAAGCATGAATAAAATAATTAATGAGTGCACCAAACATTTTAAAGACACAAATACATTAATCCCATACCCGGTAGTAATCCCCAGGATCATCCATAATCTTTGCTTGGTTGGGATTAGTAGGCGGTGGTGTACCTTCAATGCAGGATGGGGGATCTACTGGTGTGCCTCGCTTACGATTTGCTGACCGTGTCAGAGATCCAACTCCAGGTGCTGCTAATATCTTATCTCTATTTTTTCCTGATCCTGAAAAAATATAATAATAAATTTACTGAAACAATTACAATACAGAAGCTATCAAACATGGGTCTGGCTATGGTAGTTAAGGTGCTCGCCTACCAATCACAAGGCACTAGGTTCAAATCCTTCACACAGTCTTGCTTTACACAGTCCTTAGCCTCCTAATACTGTGCAACATTACTTCCACCCTGAATGTTGCAGGTCTGTTACTGTCTGGACCATGAGGATGAAATTAAAAAGAGTTTATCTTTTGGCTCACGCTAACTTTAATAAATAATTCATCTCCTACTTTAACATTTATAATAAAGATTAATGATCCAAGCTCATAGTTTTGAAGTTCACAATACCATCCAAGGAAAAAATATTTAAGAAATGTAGTAGTAAGGACCTTTGTGAGTGCACTTGAGATATGTAGAAGTCCTAAGGACATTCCATATTTAGTCAATGAGTTCATTAATAAGCTAGGCTGGAATTCCTTCAGGAGAACTTGATAATGAATGCAAGTTATGGTTATGAAGGACCTGCCCTTGAGGTGTTATCAGCTTCTTATGTAAACTTTTTAAGAGAGCTTAGCCTTCGCTTCTCACCTCAAATCAATCAAACGTATCTGTAAGAAACACATTGTTGCATGTTCTGCATCTGGATTTAGACAACCACCACTGTACAAGCCCATCCATTTATATTAATTTAAAGAATATGGGTGGGGTATTTTTTTTTTTTGGGTGGGGCTTACAACATACTAACTTCTAAGGCAATAACCTACGCTACTAAATTCCTAAAGCAGGTGAAGCACCTGAATTTAAGACACTAATTTAACTTTTTGTATTTGATCAAAATTACCACCCACCTCCCAACACCTACTTTATGGTAATGATCACACAATTCCCCCTCCCCTTACTTTATGTTAATGATCTCACCTTGCACACGTTGCAACCTTACTCTACTCCCTGATTCTTCAGCTGTCCTTGGTAAGTTCTTACTACTATAATAGTAAGGAGCAGGAACAGCCGGCCGACAAGCGGAAGACGGTAACGTTTGAGGGCGTGCTTGTGGGTCACTATACTGAATAACTGGATGAGGGTTCTGGGGGTTTCTAAAGCTTCTAAAAAAAAAAAAAACATATATTGAGAAATGTAATCAATAAGTGATCATGTCTAATGAAATTCAGAAGAAAACTACGAAAGGAAGAGAAGGGCAAGAAATAGAATTCCTTACCTGATAGTTAATGGTGTGTTTACACCTTTTGTTTTAGTTGTGACACCTGCCTTCAGATGGGGAAGCAAGCTTTGAATGCCTGGCATGTTACTTTGCTGAAATAGAAGACAACAAAATACTGAGAGAAATCCAAGGTTTATGCATTTCTTATCAATGGGCCATTAGGGATCATCTATAATACTTTCATCATTCTTGCTAGAGCACATAACATACAGGAAAGGGGTTTTAACAGTGTAGGTCAATGTACTCTTTGATAAAAAAGACAAAACAATGACTGCAAAATAATTTTACAATTTTTATTGTATATTCTTTCAGAAGGTGGTGGTCAAGAGAACTTGCAAATATTTAAAATATATGGAGAACCCCTTAGAAAGACATGTCCTTATGACTTTATGAACTTTATGAGTTTTTTCTTCCAGGAGATGTCCTTGAATGACCTTGTAATGTTCTCCTTAGAACTGTAATGAAATTTTGATTGCCTCTCAACCAAATCATATATGCAAAAATGCTGGGAGCACGTAATTTGACCAGAACTTATACCATAGCTCAATACTGTAGAAATCTGTTCATGATATTGCATCAATTGCTTCTGAAAGAAATAGATTTTGCAATAGCATCATCTCAATTAATGGTCCTTTCTAGTAAGCCTCGCCTATTGGATATTGTTTCAAAGGTTCCACAAAATGACAATGTAAAAGCATACCTGCACATGTGCGTTTGTGGGACAATTTTCAAGTTTGATTGACACTCCAGTAAGGGCCACTGTACAAGTAGAATATACATGTACACCCACAAGGGTTTTGTCCCTCCCATGCGTACCTGTCCAGGGTTACTAGGGATACCTGTCCAGGGTAATTATCCCATGTTACTTTTCTTAGTATATTTTATCAGATCTGGGTTACTGGTGTTTGTTATTCAGTGTTATTTTTCCTGGAGTACTTACACAGGTTTAATAATTATAACATTATATATATATATATATATCTGTCTCTTCAGGTTGGATTTCCTCCATTAAAGAGGAGGTTAGGTTCCCTTCACTCTCGTTGCGGTTCCAGCCATGAGGTGAGCCTAGACTTTCCAGATGAGTATATCCACTATTGGCTACAGCTACATAATTCCGTCCAGTTTTTCTAGAAGAATAAAAACATAAAAGATTTCACATTTTCTTTCCTTGATAATTCAGTTAAAGTAATATCATTTGATGTTTACAGTTATCAAAATATTAATACTGTACTACTAACTTTGGTAGGCTGCAAAATTCTGATGGTGATCTAGAGCATTTAGATGGGGACTGAGCCCGGTCATCTGTCTTCCATGTTGTTACAGTTCGAGGCTTAGCTTTCTATAAATACAATACATTTAATAAGTAACAAGTGAATATCCAAAGCCTTCTTCAATTCAGAGGTTGATGGTATATATAGGTATAGTGGCATTTTATATAACGATATAAAAGATTTACTATAGGCTGCTCCTACACCCAATGCGATAAACATGAGATATAATATCCTCCTACTCATTTTAATTCTAAAAGAGAATTTTTAAAAAATCTGAAGTTTAGGAAGTTATACCTTTATAGGCATTGGATTGAATCCCCGGTGTTCATCTCGGCTTCGGAGCGATTCAACTCTCTGCTGTTGTTTTGAACGAAGGTTTGGGTGTCGTAGAATCATCGGTTGTGTGTACGGCACCAAGATTGGTGGGTCATGTTGAGTTGTATAGAGGCAGAGGAGGGAGTGAGATACAAAATCGGGGTCGTTAGCTGGTAGCTGTAGTGAAACGGACTATGAAGAGACAACACATACACAAAACATGCGTTATGATGAGAATGCAGTGATTAGTGAACAACATGTAACCAAGCTGTTTAGTATGAGTTATTTTTTATACCCTGCTCCGGGAATGCAATGCACACCAATAATTATTGTTTATGATATCATGGTATTGCTCGCTTGTTAGTGCATAATATAAAAAGGAAATTTCAGAAAATTTTTCTTCATTTTTTCCCTGCCCAGTATTTAGGGGGTGTGCCCCCACCCCATTGGAAATGTTCAAAGCAAAAAGATCACTCTCCTATAGTTAAAAATCACCTTTTTTTGTGAGCTTATGGATTGATTGGATTTATTCGGTGTAAAAACCAAGGATAACTCACAAAAGTCTAGAAGAAGACTTATTTCCAGTGGGGTCCTTCTGGTGGTGATTGGGCATTACACTGGTGGTAGAAAATCCCCTACTCTTTTCCGAAGTGTGTACTGCGTTCTTTAACGTGCACATGGGCCAAAAATGCACACGTCACCAATGGCTTAAACGTCTCATCCGAAAGATGGTGAGCTGTTGCAACTTGTATTTCAGCCCTCCAGATGAAACACAAGGAGAGGCAGTGATGGGAATTGAACTGGGGACCCAGAGATCTCTGCAATTCAGCGCACACACAGTGGCTATCACCAGATTTGCGGACTGAGCTTAGCTGCTGTGCACCCTCATCTAATAATTAAGCCTCTCATTTATCTTCGCAACCCTCCCCACTCCCCCCCCCCTTTCAAGACTCCTAGATACCCACTGCTACTGCTGCAATCATGATCTGATGATAATATTTGTTCCCCAAAATTGTATTAACACACTTATCTATCTACTGCAAAATGTTTATCGCTCTTTGTCAAGCTATCAATTTAACCTATCAGATCTGTCCCCAGATATACTGTACATACCAAATGTTAGCATGACTGTCTATGTTATCTATCAATCAAACCATAAACCTATGGGTAACTACTATATATTACCACCACCAAATTATTAGTGTACACTGTCAAAAGCGATAGGCTACAGAACGGTGAATACACATTTCTGATTGAACCATGCAATGAAATCATGACAGGCAGACACAAGGCAGACAAAATGTGAACAGGCCGGCAAACACGGATTAAATGATTCCAGTGCACTGAACTACATTGGTATACGGTTAGCTGAACAATGAAATGGCAGTCAAATCAACATGAGGATATGATAACAGTAATGAAGACAAACATGATAAATGATGAGGCAGACATAACACAACAATAATCAAAATGACTCTAAAAATAGACATAACGAGATACAGACAACCGTAAGGAAACCATTCATGGTGAACCATGAATTCCAAATACTGTATTAATTTGTACAATTTATTATTTTTTTTTAAAAGTCTTCACCAATTTATAATTCAAAGTTTTAATTTTTGAGCTTTTTCCTGATTTTGTATGTATCTTTAAATATATATCACCATAATTCTTACCTCCATCAACATCACTAAATTAACCTCAAATTATAATTAATTTAAATCTTTTAAATTCATAAAATATTTATTAATAAACATGTAATCAGGTGCTCAAATATATAAAATTTATAAATTATAGTAATTATAATAATTCTTACCCCCATTAACATCACTGTACAGTATACCTCAAATTAATAATTTAAATCTTTTAAATTCAACAAATATTTGTTAATAAACATGCAATCAGTTGCTCAAATACATAATATTATAGTTTATATCATCAACATTGTACATACATATCTTCTTCTCTCTACGGGTGTTTTCTGTCGGCATGTCATTCCCCTTCCTCTTGCCAATGGGGGTATGGTGTTCTTTTTTGACTTGTTATTAGCACTCTCCTCCTGTGGGATTAAATTAAAAAAAGGTTTAGATTCTACACTCAGCAGTGGCAGAAAGATCCAGGAATTTGAAATAGAGGGGGCCCAGTGAAGGAATTTTTGCAGATGGGGGTCTAGAGTACCTCAGCCCCAATATGGTCAGGGCTAAGGTAAGAAAATTTATGAGTAAGGCTTCTCTAGATGGCCAGAAATGGCACGCTCAGCCATTTTTCTCCATTTAAAAAAAATAATTTTGAAAAATTAAGGGGGCTCCAGGCAGGCTGGGCCTCCTTGAATCCGCCACTGCACAATTTTCAAGAGAGTATCCATTGCAGCTTTTGCACTTAAGCCTACAAATACCCACTTACTCCTAGGTGAAGAGAATCAACCTGATGATAAAGAATGCTGTTCAGAGAAACAAATATAATGTTCATCCTCAGATGCGACCCTACAACATTTTAGCATATGTTTCAGCACAAAATTTAAATGACTGAATCTGAAGAGCGATTCTACTAAAAACCCAAATATGCAAAAATAAACGAGTGATAAAATTCATAGAACATACAACATGTAACTATGGAGGTATAGACATACTAATTTGGGTCACAATGGAATCAGATACCATTGATGATGGAGATGCCCTATATTGCCATGGTAACAAGTCTACCACAATGACATCAACGCCGAGCTTGAGTTGCTTTTTATAAACATTATACACAAGCTCACTTCCACTCACAACATATTAAACCCTCCCTTGGTGGTCTCACAAAACTAATTAACATTTGATACTAGGTTAAAAATTTGCCTCTCAAGTCACAATAAACATCTCTTGTAAAGGATTTAAACCTTCTATTATCAGTATAATGTTTATATTGCTGTCATTATCTGTTTATATATTTAGAACTATATTTGTTGAAGATAAGCTGTGAGGTAATTGAATTTTTCTATTTTGGGCAACAAATACATGCTCTGTTTAATGTCTATTTACATTTAAATTAATAATAAATCTTATAATAATCTTGTTAATAGGAATAATTTTACCATTCAATTCCCCTATGACTTAACTCTCAACAACAAAAACCTATAAGCAGGCAATTGAGTGTTCAGGATCAAGTGATGTAATAAAAAACAAAGGTAATTTTGATAATATCGCAGTAAGGGGCAGCCTGCTAGATTCTGAAAAGTACTGTTAAAACAATATAAGACTGCGGCTACATTAACTTTATATATAGGCTTATTAAATAATATCTTTTTTTATTTCTAATATTATAATTTTTAAATAATATTAATTTAATAATTTTTTTGGACAGTATTTTCAATGTTTTTATATAATGGCTTTTCTGCCAGTAATTTTTTGGTAATGTTTTTTTCTATGCAATATCTGTCCAAATTAATAATTGGTCAAACAAGAATTTAGAACTTGTAGTTGTTTTAGTATCACCACTTACAAAATAATCTAATAAATTTAAACAATCAGGTCTGCGAGCAATTTAAGATTGTTTTAATCATTGCTTACAAAGAGAGTATTATAGTCATGACTGCAAGTCCTAACACATGAATACACTTTGCTTAGGCCCAATAAAAAAATTATTAGTTTACATTCAGTATTTGAATTGAAAAAAAAAAAAAAAAAAATTTGGAATTTGTTTTTTTTTTGTTTGTAAAAATTATAATTTTTGTTTTCATTTTCATTAGGAAATAGTAGATATTGTTTGTATTATCTCAATCATGTTTTATTTTGAATGTCAATGCACCAGCAAACAACCCATGGGTGATATTTGGTTTTATAGCAAAATAAAAAATAAAATTAAGAAGCCTCCTCCCTCATCACTTTTCCAGCCTAGATAGGGTGATAAACCAATAACCTTTTTTATAAGGCCTTTTATAGCATGTTAAGATGAGAGAAAACTAGGCCTATTAATATATGCTACAAACAATAAACAGACATAAGCTTTTCTTATAAAATCAATTGAATTGAGAGCCAGGAATAAACAAGAAATATTTCCTATGAAAAAACCGCCGCAACATCTTTACCTTATTCAATTCTTCCATGGATTTTCATTGCAATATTTCGGCATTAATTTTATTTTAAATTGATTATTTTTTATGGGATTGGCAATGCATAGGCCTACATACGTAGGTACGACGATAAAAACTAATAAACCCTTTTTTGCGATAATTTAATTACAATCCCCCTGACGAACACTGATGAACTGTCTGTAAAGATAGCCAAAATAGAGGATTTTCAACCTGCTCGAGTTATCACTATTTTCCATCCATAACCTGATCGCTTTAGCTGTATTGCGCATGCTCAATTGTTGCGTATAAACATTGATCATTTCAATTTCATACCCTCTTCGCAGCCGCTGTTGGGTTCCTGGGACAAATTTTTTAGTAATCATACCCTCTTTGCAGCCGCTATTTGGTTCCTGAGTGAGACGTGTTTTTGGTAATTGCGCATGCTTACTCAATGCACATGCTCACTGGCTGTCTAGCATTTCCAAGCGCATGCTCACTGTGTTTTTATAGATAATTTATGGACATTACTCTATTTGGTAGTATACGTGCGCATGCACATTGCTTAGTTCGGAATTCCCATTTCTTTGTAGTAATAGCTACCGCTACCTGCAGTTTCTTAATGACTGTTTCCTCTTGATTGTTACAGCCTAAAAGTGCGGCGCGAAAAACATGATTTCTGAAACATTGATTGTTAAAGTACGGTATCAGGCAAGAAATACAGTCAGCAGTATATTAGGTAGTTTTTAACGATCTATTGTGAGATGGCCAATTTAAAACATTCCTGAACTGTGTAAATAACCTACCACCTGTGGCCAAATAATGGTGACCTCTTAAAATACTAATTGGTCAACATAGGTACCAACTGGTCAATCAGTTAGATGAACCATGGAGGTACTATTAAAAATTCTATTTTTTTTTTATGATAACAAAAAAAGCTTGATGTGTTATATTTTAACTAGTCTACAGCAAGCTGATTAAAAGGAATAATTTCAAATGATCAAAATTGATATACAGACATTCTAATAATAAAATGTTCAATTGAATACAGGAAACTGCATTTTTTTTGTTAAGATGCTTGCCTTCTAATCTCAGATCCTGGGTTCAATTTCTGTCACAGCGGACTTTTTCTCACGACTGAAAACAACTCCACTCCCTAAGCCTCATAAATAGACATGGCTGATACAAGCATCACATTATTTCATTAACTTAAAGCGGGCCCCTGAATATTAGCCTACCTTCTAGGATAAAAAAAAAAAAAATCTTTTTTATTGTTAAGTAAAAGGTTTTTGTTGTTTGTTTATTATCTATTCTGATACTCAGATAATGTAAGTTAGGTCTAATGGCATATCTACAAGCACACACCTTGCTGTCTTTCCATTGTCTAACCTACATGAATAATTCAATAAAGTAGTTAAAAAAAGTTTCAAGTTAAGTTTAAAGTTAATAAAAAATTGATATTTATCAGTATCAACTCAACTGAACACCAAAGAAATGATAATTTAACTTACCTTATTGATATACTGTTTAATTTTTGTTTTATATTTTGTATTCATATTAAAATCTTTTAAATTAATTCTCAATACTATTCAAATACAATAGTAAAGGGGATTTTAGCAGTCAATGAACTACTACACACTACTTGTCTTGTTATTAGTGTTGAAACACCTCACCCTCAGGTGTATCTCCTTTTCACAATATAAAAAGTTCACCACCATTCAGATGTAGAACTAATGAGAGCTGAATCGTTAAAAAGTCAAAAGTAAACTTACCATGGCAACTCAAAGGGTAAAAAATCATAAAGACTTCTTGAAACACACTACCATTCAGATTGTTCTGCTTGAATTTGAAGTCTTAAGACTAGCACCTTGACTTAACCAACTCCCTTGCCTTAACCTACTGACAAACAAGAAACTTCTCTGCTTCCTGACCTTCTAGGAAATACACAACTTGCATCAAGGCCTTGGGGCTACAGCTTATGTTTTCACTGACTCTAGGCCTGAATGGCAAATAGTTTGCACTGGCATACCACATGTCATGATCAATCCACCATTTACGTCAACAACTAGAATATGTTGGACACTGTTTAAAAAGATCTCAGTAATTGGAACCAGTTTCTTAATAGAGACACTGGAATTCCAAAGTGAAGTGCAAAGCAATGAAAAATTATTGACTTCCTCCTGAAGGGTGGAAAAACTTGAAAGACAGATAAACAGTTGTGCGTCAATTATAGTATCAAATTAATAATATATTGCCTATAAATAGGTCCATCAATATTGATTCCAAATTGCATTGACACTTGGGATAAGTATATTATAATTGCATGACAGAAATAGGTATTTATAAATCATTTTAGAAAATACTAATTACCTTCAATGAAGGTATCTATTAGGGACAATCAGAGTTAATTTTATATTTATCAAAATATTAAATTTCAACCAATTTCAAATGAAATGGAAAAAACAAATCTAATATATTGTGAAATCAAAGTAGATAGTAACCTCTCAACAAAATAAACACATTTACCACTAGTTGGAGGTAAAAGTTTAAAACATAATGTTTAATATATTTTTGTAGCATAATTAAAAGGGGAAATATAATTTTTTTAAATATAAAGGGAAAATATAATTTTTTTAAATGCTATTGAGCTGATTAGTTAGCTGATTGGTATTGTTCCTGCCTCTTGCACGTCAGGGCCTGGGTTCGAGACCTGCCTCTCCAGCCGAGTACTGAATTCGGGTCTTTTATAAACGTTCAGCTCCTCGAATAACCCTTTCAGGAGATTTAGGTTTCTATCCGTTGTATGTTGTAGTTTAAGTTGGGTGATGCTGCACTGCGGGTCCCCAGGGACCCAGCCCAAACTTCCAGTGCTTATTGCATTTGAGGACAAATAAAGATTTATTATTAAATTATATTATTATTATGTTTTGATTCAAATTGATTTTACTCACTTTATTGATTTTGATTACCAATCAATATTGATCAATATGTTGACATTATTCAATTAACACACAATAATAGATAGGTCAAGTGTTATTAAAAAATAAGTTTACAGAAAAAGCCAGGATCGTCAGCTGACAAAGTGTGACTTACATTTAAAGATACTGATCAAATAAATCTAAATATACAGTATTGGTAGTGTCATGTTGATCAATATTGATCATTATTAATTGAAAACTAATTTTTAAAAGATTAATTTATCAGCATACAAGAATCAGAAACATAAAGACCTTACTCACATGGCCAAGGTATATGCCGGTCATGTTACGCGTCTGTGTACGCTGGGGTCGAGATGGCAGGCCATTGTAACTTAGCATGTTTAGATCACTAAACGGTAACTTTGGATTTGGTGTGATACATTTCATGACGATTTCTTCTTAGATGATGAGATTGTTGCTAAGCATTTTGGAGACATAGCTGTTTGTCAGCGAGTGAACATACTCATTGGATTATCATCACCAACTTCAGTCAGGATGTGGACTACACTACAGGTGGCTAACTGAAAAAAAGATATAATAATTTGTTCAAACAAATAATGGTAAAATATGGCAGTGATGATACAAGAAATTTTAAGAAGGGGTCCAAAATCCCTAATGAGAGGTCTAAGCTCCTTGACAAGGGTCAAACTTTCAACACCTTAGGCCTATCGTTTACTGAGCAAGTTTGGAGAATAGGTACTGTATGTCAAAATGCCTGGAAATGGCACTCCCAGATCATAAAAATACAGGCCCGTAACCAGGGGAGAAGGTGCGATTACTTAATTAGACATTAATTATATGAAATATAATTAATGTCTACCAACTTCCTACAACAGGTACCACAATAAATTTTAAGTTCCAAAATTGTGAGGTTTCGAGTCATATAATAAGTAAAGTTAACATGTATAATATAAGTCTATATATATATAATTTTGTTGGTGGTACTGAACTACTGTACATATATCAGCTATATTATCAGTATCCAGCCTCCTTGCACCCAAAAAGTATTTTGATCACAGACTGAAGTAGCTGATTATCATTCAAGAATGCTGTATTGGACATTCTTCAAGCTGTGGGCATGCCTGATCATTACCTCCCATGGCTAACCTTGTTACTATGGAAATGCTTAATCTTGTTACCATGGAGATTTTTAACCTCCTTACCAGGGAGGGCAACGTAGTATACCTCATGCAAAGAACCACATGCCAGATGGTGTGCACTGAAAGCTATTTTGTAGCTAGGCCAGACCAAAAATTACTCTAGAATCTCTTTATAATAATATTATACTGTAGAATGTACTTGAATGTAGGTCTCTTATAAAAGGTTAAAATGTGTAGAATGGTTGGAACTTGGATGTGGTATGTTTATAATTAGGTCATCATATAAAAATTTTTTTTCACAATCCAAATCACCTGGAAATCCTGATTCCTACAGATATGCTATCACATTCTAGCCTTGTGTGTGGGTATGCTGATGCCACCTTTGTCAATAGGTCAAAATAAGTGGAAAGGGGGGGGGGGGGGCTTCATCAAGACTAAAAATTTGGGAGACAGATCAGAGGTCGGCTGGTAAAGAATAAGACATCCCAGAAATTTTGTTGAAAGTATAATAAACCAAGGTCAATTGAAATTCAACATGTACAGTTGTTTTTGCACTAAAAATAGTTTTTATTCTGGTCTAGACTTAGCATATCATGTTTTGTAAGCTCCTCGAGAAACTAATTAATTTCAGCTGTTTGCTATGCACAGATTTATTCCAGATTGCATTCAACATCTACAGTAAATGCTATTTTAATATTTGGTTAAATTTTGGAGACGCCATATAAATCAGGACGATTTGAACATCTGGATGAACTTATTTCGTTTTCTAAAATACCCAATTAATATTTTAAAAATGCGTATGAAAAACACTTGGACTTTTTATGTGGCCTAGTAAAATTTGTGTGACTAAATTTTATATGTTTTCATTTAATTAACATTGTATCTAACACAATTCTATAGTTAGTTTTATTACATACGCTTATCTTTTCAGACAATATGTCCTCAATGTTCAGTTTCCCAGCGCAATTAAAATACTTTACAGATGACTCAGACTCTTTTCTGTCTTCCAAAATAGTAGATTAACAAAATGAAGATTGTTGTCATTTTGAGATAATTGTTTTATATTCATTAAACTTAAGAGAAAAACACTTTTTACCCTTCGCCTTAGCTAGCAATATGTTTTGTACTCTCAAGAAAATGACAAAAAATGGATGACCAATCTCTAAGTAAGTGACATAATGAAAAATGTACCTTGTTGATACAAACACAGACAGGGGAGTCATCCAAGGACTTTGTCTTTATTACACAAGCCACATTGATCAACTGAAAATCCCCTCTTTTCTTTGTTGACTTTTTCTTTTCTGTTTTAGGTAGCCTATCTAGGGAGTTATTGTCACTAGGTCTACCTTCCTAGGCCTATCTATAATAATAATATTAATATAACAACTCCCTGGCCAAGAAAGATGGTGGGATGCTAGGCCTAGGGCCTACTTCTTCACGGGACTCTTGTCCCTGCCTCCTCAGCAGCAGTGCAGTGAGTGACAAACCACCACCTGACATTTTTCACACACACACTTCAAACAAAACTAAGCAGGCAAAAGAAACTTTGCACTCAATTTCATGAACTTACATTAAGATTTCGTCATACCATGCAGAAATGTTGTGAGGTAAACTACGATTACGAGAAAAAAAATCCCCAATGAAGTTCCCTAGACCTGAATCCGTCTGCTTTATTTTCAGTACGATACGGTGGTGGTGATCAAAGAGTGCGTCAAGTGAACGCCCTCATGTGGCGGTATCGAGGTATGACGTAACAAAACAAAGTTTTGGTAACTACTGTGTACCAATCCGAATGGGAGTTGTATAATAAACCCCGGAAAACGAACTCCCTATTTGACCCCTACCATTATTTATCCAAAAGTTGAGATATTGTTCACACTATTCCTATATATATTTACATTTCTTGTGGCAGTAGGTCCATGGGTGTGGGGAGTTGTCCTATAACAACTTCCTAAGACGTTGGCTTTGGAGGGAGGGGATGGGGGATATGCCACTCCTTGACAGTATCCTCTATGGGTTATGAAGAAACGTTACGTTGAGTTTTTATTGGAATAAGGATTTGTTTCCGAATTTTCGAACCTCACCTAGACCAAAACTACCCTAGGTAATTCCATTGAGGTCTACGTCCAATTGTCCTTGTTTTTTTTTTCTTTTTGTGAACTGCTAGTCTCTTAGTCTTTATGTCTGTGTTTTCATATAGAAAAAGCAAAAACGATCTTGTACAATACATGATAAAAAGCCTATTCAAAAAAAAAAAACATGCGTTTGCGATCGTCCGGAGAAGAAACTTTTGGATATTTATGTGTTTTAATCCGAGTGCTTGTATGCTTAATGGCTGCGTGTGAGGAGCGCTTGGAGGACGTGGTGTGGCAGAAGACTCAGTCAACATTAACAATTATTTCTATCTCGCCCTCATCATAAGCGGAAACATTTTTATTTTCAATTACACTTGTACTGAGGGGTGGAACCCGGGGCTCTTTGAAGGCTACCACAGGTCAGATCCAGGAGATCAGGGGGAGGGGAATTTCATGGTTTGTGTTATATCCCTCCAGGGGGCGTATTTCATGGTTTGTGTTATCCCTACGGGTGTGACTAAATCATGAGGACCATTTATTGGAAGTGGGGGCGTTGTCAGTATAACATTATGTCTACATATGTGTACTGCTCGATAAATTTGGTTGGCGTACACATGAACAGTATTAAATTTCATTAGTTATATTAATACTGTAGGAAATCTGTAGCCTATTTATTCAATGGAAACAAGATTCGAAAATAAAGTTTTGAAATATTACAAAAATTGAGTTTTTTTTTGTAATAATGAATAATGAAATATTCACCTAACTTGGTGACAGTTATATATGTTTTAATTGTTGTAGTTCAAACTTCTTATTCCTTTATAAACATTTTATTCAATCATTTAAAAAAGTGTGAACTCGGTCACTGTTGGACTTCCTTTGATGAAATAAAATTTCACAAAAACATAAAAAAATACCTTAATCACGGAAAACAACATTTGTAATTTCATAATTTTTGTATTTGAGGCCAAATGCTAGATGTCTGTTCAGTAACAAAGTGTGTATTGTGTATTTTTTAACGCGTACATCCAATATGTCGATGAGTTACACACGCGAATACATCAAAACGCAGCAGACCTAGGTAATCCAAGCACGGTCAAGGTTCACTGCTCACTGACATCCTAACTGAGACGAAATGTTAGACCGAGGCAGTTTTCAGTAGACCTGAACTAAAGTTTTATGTTGATTAACCCCATTTAAACATTGTGTTTTGCGAGCTATAAGGCAAAGAGAACCAGCTAGGCCTAAAAATTATTAGAATGACCACTTTTATACCACAAATCGAGAAGCTTTCTTCTCGAATCATTCGCGTCCTTGGCTGCAATCCAGGCATGTTTACTCTGCAAGGGACGAATACGTATGTCGTAGGTACAGGCAGCAAACGCATCTTGGTGGACACAGGCGAAGAGAAGAAACCTGAGTACATATCAAATTTAAAGAAAGTTCTTAAGGACTCGGGATCAACCCTTCAAGAAATTCTGATAACACATTGGCACCATGATCACACTGGAGGGATCACTGAATTAGTTAAGGAATTGCAACTTGCAAATGATGTCAAAGTTTCGAAATTTCCTAGAAGGCCAGCTCAAGACGAGAAGATAGATGCTGAAGGGGTACTCAAATATAATTATTTAAATGATGGTGATGTTGTAAAAACCGAAGGGGCAACTTTGAAGGCAGTATACACACCAGGGCATACGGATGATCACATGGTACTATATTTGGAAGAAGAGAATGCTGTCCTGACTGGAGACTGCATTCTTGGAGAAGGAACGGCCGTCTTCGAGGATCTTTTCACATACATGCAGTCATTGCAGAAGCTGGTGAATTATGCTCCTGAGATCCTGTACCCAGGTCACGGTCCTGTTGTCAGTGATGCTGTAACCAAGATCCAAATGTACATAGACCATCGTAACATGAGAGAACAGCAGATCATGGATGTGCTAATTAAAAATGGGAATCCTATGGAGTCGATGGAGATGGTGAAGATAATATATGTTGATGTTGGTGAACACTTACACATAGCTGCTAATGGAAATGTTTGTCATCATCTCTCTAAACTTGAGAAGGAAAACAAAATTGTACAGATGAAGGAAGGTGTTGTTCCCAAATGGAAAGCTAATTTATAAACATTGCCATTTTATTAATTTAAATGCTGTAATCTGCACAATATGTAAAATCCATCCAAAAAATGTGTCAACCAAATGCAATCAATACAGTATTGAATTTATAAAGTAAAAAAGTGAATGGAAAATGGAACAAAAAGCAACATATAAAGCAAGTTGGTTGAGGAACTGCATAGGAACCTTTTGGTCCCATTCACAAAATAATAACACACAAGACAAAAATGGTCACAAAGTAATAATAAGCAATGAAAAAATGGTCACAAACACAGATCCAATTTTATTGCAAATTAAGAATATACAGTACAGGTACTTTATCAATGTTTATGATATTTTTATATAAAGAAACATTAAATTGTATGGTACATGTGACATTGAGAAATTGATGCTGATTTCTCTTCTGCACTAATTGGTATGCAGAACTGTTGAGAGAACTTTTATTTAACCACCATGCATTATTGCATGATATTTTTTAATGTGTATATATGCAAAAACCTAGTGGAAAGTAAACATTTTATAAGTACAGGATAGTACTGATTTTCAAATATAAAAAAGATGATTTTTAACAGAGTTTGGTGTGTGGGATCATTGTGCCACATTATTGTCCTTGATATGCATATATGATTTAAGGAGATTTATTCTAATCTAAATTTTGTTTTTCACGATTAAATGTATTAATATACATTGTTGTTTTTTAAATAAATAAATATTCCATAATTGTACATATGTGTATTGCAATTTAATTTATCTAGTTAATTAGTGAAAAATTCCATACATACTGTTTTACACCCCAATTCATTTTGAGCCTTTTGAAGTTTACATGATATCTTTGATTTTGAGTGATATGTTTGTCCGCCTAGATTCTAGGCAATCCCAGTGAATACTATAAAATATTATTATTTTAATACACGTGCGTGCCACACCCAAATATAGTCAACTCTTTAAATTGCTCGTTTGCGGCGCTGTTCCATAACGAAGGTAAAATTACAAATCAATCCAATGTTAACAATAAATTCTTAATTTATAATCGTACAAAATATTAAATCATAAAGAATTATTGGCCACTACTGTATAATGCCGGGATTCGATATTGCTGGTAAAGTTTCAATATAATTGCTACGCGCGCCGACAGCTGTTATTACGCTGATTGGTCGGTCGAGTCGGAGAGCCTTCCAGATTGCGTCAAGAGACAGGCAATCATTCAAGCTTTAGCAACATTTTAGCGATTTTGTGGAAACCGTGCATAATAATTACGTTTCATTCGCTATACCTGTGCATTGTTTTCTTTTTTTTTTTTTTTTTTGCAATTGTGTATATATTATTTTCAAATTTACACAAGGAATTGATGTATCTCTAGTCTACCTGCAAATGTTTTATGCCTACCAGCATGTGTTTTCTATTCTAACTGTTATAGCTCCTTTGATGAGCGTTTCCTGCTACATGTTGACTGTAGGATAAGGTATTTCACTAGACCCAGCCGCTGACCAGAACCATGACGGCCTTTCTTGCACAAACCGAACAGGTATCCCCACGCGTTATCCGAATTCTTGGCTGCAATCCTGGGGCGTTTACCCTGCAAGGAACAAATTCATATGTCGTTGGGACTGGCGATAAACGCGTTTTGATCGATACCGGAGATAAGGAGAAACCAGAGTACATAGCAAATTTGAAAAAAGTACTCAAGGAATCGGGAGCAACAATCCAAGAAATATTGACAACACATTGGCATCATGATCATACAGGCGGAATCGCCGATATTTTTAGGGAATTACAACTTCCGGACGATGTGAAAATTTCTAAGTTTCCAAGGAACCCGGTCCGAGAAGAAACCATTGTGGGCGGAGAAGGTCGCCTTAAGTACAATTACTTGAATGATGGAGACATCATAAAGACCGAAGGAGCAACTCTAAAAGCGATGCACACTCCAGGTCATTCTGATGATCACATGGTTCTGTTCCTGGTGGAAGAGAATGCTGTTTTTACTGGGGATTGTATACTAGGAGAAGGCACTGCAGTTTTTGAAGATCTCTTAACGTACATGCAATCATTGCAGAAACTTGTGGATTCAGCTCCAGATATTTTATACCCAGGCCATGGACCTTTTGTTAGTGATGCCGTCGCTAAGATTCAAATGTACATAGACCATCGTAACACGAGGGAAGAGCAGATTATGGACGTGCTTGCTAAAAATGGTAAACCTATGGAATCAATGGATATAGTGAAGATATTATATGCTGAAGTTGGCGAACACCTACACCGTGGTGCAGAAGTGAATGTGCGTAACCATCTTACTAAACTTGAAAAGGAAAATAAAATTTATAAAATAAACAGCGACATGATTTTGAAATGGAAAACGCGGCACTAATACAATGGCAATCTCTGTAACTCTGTCCAGGTTATCAAATTCCTTTGAAAAACCTGTTGTATGGCCATAATATATAATCATTATGTGTCTATATATGGTCATGACGTGATGTCATCATGACCATGGCATGTCACATGTTTTTGTCAAATCAAATTTGATATTCTGGTCAGTGCTTTATAATGCCTACCATATGACGGTAATCCTAGCCACCATAAAGGACAAAATGAGAGCCTAATTTTTAACATTTTCGTTTGTTTTAAATATTATTATTGATAAATGTTATAATATAAATTTAACTTTCTTAATGCTTTGTAGTATGTGGTACACATTTCCATCATAAACAATATTCGTATATAATAATAATTACTTCCTTCATGCGCATATGCCAACGTTCATCGTGTTAAATTTAATTTTGATTATTATATATCAACGATCACAAATTAAACACGATTTGTGCTCACACGAGTGATAAGAGAAAGTCATGCAGTAGTGTAGTATTCGTTGTCTTTTGTTCACACTCAAAACATCAGCAGGCCAACATAATATTTTAATATAGAACTACATGACGATTTTTTAAATATGTACTGGTATTAAATCAAAAAGTATAGTATTGTATAGTTGTGCATTATGAATACGAAGTTCTACTCTGATTAAATAGCCTATGTCTCTTAACCAGTAAAATTGGATGTTAGGAAAATAAAGTACAGTAGTACAGTTGCATATAATTTCATGTGTTGTCACTATTACTTTCCTCATAACGCAATACTAGCAACGACAGCAAAAAAAAAAAAAAAAAAAAAAAAAAACCCAGAATACAAGAAGTGCTAGGACACGAAGATTTTAATCAAAGTCCGTCGATCGTCCCCTACCACTGCGCTTTATCCCGATATTTTTGTTTGCATTCGTTTTGTATCAGGCCTATAACATTATCCGCTCTGGCGCCGTGGGAGGGTATCACAGAAAAAATTCTTTTACACAATGTGAATAGAGAATTCAAATCACTTTAGTCTTTTACTTTTGTCTAAAGAACCGCCTTGACGGGTCCTGTGCTGTCCGGGCCTCACGCCATACGCAATTATGCTATCTTTTTTGAAAACCTTCCCGTCTAGCTGGGATCTTCCCCTACCCCTCTTCCCCTTTCTGCCTCACCATGACAAAAGGAAGCAACTGTTGTTTGCATTGCATTGAGTAATTAAGGAATATGGAGCATGTTGATTTTGTCACCTGCTTCCTATTCTGGTGGTTTTTACTGTATTTTTAGTCTCTTAATTCCTTTTTGTGCTGCTAATTACTTGTTAATTAGTGGGATTTGAGCATACTCAAATATATCAATATGTTCCAAATTATTTGTTCGTTGATAACGACTAAAAAACTTGTTTTTTGAAAAATTGTCAGTTACTTCCTTTGTCATGGTGGGGCAGTACCCCTCTTAACGAGGTTAGATCCCCCACCACGTCGGGACATCAGTGGCGCCGGTCATGTGACGATGAGATGGCGATGGCAATGATGATGATGGTGATGAGTGGTAATGATGAGCATAGTAAATAAAAATCAAAAGGAATGGAATGATGATGATGTGATCACTGAGTGGTGATGAGATGATTTTTGAAAATGACGTAATACAATCAAGGTCAATACACAACTGCGGCAGGGGTCTCGCCAGTGGGGGAGGGAGGGATAGGGTCCCCGGTCAGGGAGAGCATCCTCCTCCCCCTTCGGGAATAAAAACCATCAAAATGAAGAAAAACAAAATTATATGTAT